GCTCTTTGCCCACGTGCAACAGTTGTACTTGAAGGTCGTCTGTATAAGGCTAGGTCTGTGAAGGATCGAAGCTCGTGACAAGCAACGCGTGGAGCGTCTGTTAAGCCAATCACAAGCCTCCAAATACCCACTGTCGGGGGTTAGACGACCTGTCCCGCCGACGTCAGTCCCCGCACGCGTGCTCTCTACCTTGCCCAGGTACTGAGCTCCAACCACCAAGCCATTCACAGTCCCACCACGACAACGCTATGCAGGTACCTCTTAAGTAGCGGGTAGCTAGCAAGCTGCAGCATTGACGACAAAGCAAACCGACAACAGGCAGTAGGGCAGAGGCCCGACATAGACGATCAACCAGCGCTTTTGTGTTTCCTCGCAGCCAAGACCCAGAGCTCCCAGCTCCGACCTGACCACCTGCCCTCTCTCTACCTTACCAAGATGACTGGCCTATCCGCCACACCGACACGAGGCACCATTTAGGCACAACGCCAGACGGACATCATGGGCCAAGGCTTCTCTCTCGCGACGCCGTATGCTGGCTCGGCCAGCATCGATGTTCCTGAGCTGTCTGACCTTGTGTACGAGCGGAGCCTCGGCACGGCGCGCTTCATGAAGAGCGTCCGCGCACGGCACCACGATGGCGTCGTGTTGGTCAAGGTCCTGGCCAAACCCTACACACCCCTGTCGCTCGACAAGTACAAAAAGGAGCTCATCGGTAGGTAGAGATACGATGGCGCCCGCACCTATGTATGTGCCCCCTAATGTTGACTTTCTCTCTTCTTGTCTAGCTCAGCGAAAGGCCCTCGCCGAAGTTCCAAACGCACTCCCCTTTCAACGCATCATCGAAACCGAGACGAACGGCTACCTCGTCCGTCAGTTCCTCTACAACTCGCTGTACGACCGCATGAGCACGAGACCCTTCCTCGAAGACATTGAGAAGAAGTGGCTCGCCTTTCAGCTGCTCTGCGCCCTGCGTGACTGCCACGCACGGGACATCTACCATGGCGACATCAAGTCCGAGAATACCCTTGTGACATCTTGGAACTGGCTGTACCTGACTGACTTTTCCTCGCCCATCAAACCAATTTTGCTTCCCGATGACAACCCCGGCGATTTCTCGTACTACTTTGACTCCTCTGGACGGCGGACCTGTTACTTGGCGCCCGAGAGATTCGTTGCGCCGGATGACGTGGGCACGAAAGAGGCCAAGCTCACCTGGGCCATGGATGTCTTCAGCGCCGGCTGTGTCATCGCCGAAGTCTTCCTCGAAGCGCCCATCTTCACCCTGAGTCAAATCTACAAGTTCCGCAGGGGCGAGTATGACCCGGTCATTTCGCAGATAAGCCGCATACCGGACAGGGACGTTCGGGACATGATATCGAGCATGGTGCAACTTGATCCTGAGAGACGATACTCAGCAGAGCAATATCTCGACTTCTGGAAGGGCAAGGTCTTTCCAGAGTATTTCTACAACTTTCTTCACCAGTACATGGAGCTGGTCACGGACCCTTCTTCGGGCAACAGCCCGATCTCTGGCGCGTCCAGAAACCTTGGCGAGGCCGATGACAGGATAGACCGCATTTTCCTCGATTTTGATAAGATTTCATATTTCCTCGGCTATCAACCTGGCAAGCGCGACACCCAGGTCGTACCCCTGGCGAGCAAGCTCGGCCTCGGGCATTTCCCAGTTCGACTCAACATTCCGAACCATGAGCAGTACGTGACGGGCAACCCGGATGGCCCCAAAAATGACGGCACCCTTATCTTCTTGACTCTTGTCGTGTCGAGTATCAGGCATACGGCTCGCGCGGCTTCCAGGGTCCGGGCGTGCGATATCCTGCTTGCCTTTGCTGAGCGAATACCCGACTTGGCCAAGTTGGACCGGGTGCTGCCTTACTTGGTGCTGTTGCTCGGTGACAAGTCGGACCTTGTTGTCATTGCGGCGACTCGGTCGATCACGCAGCTTCTGCAGCTTGTGACAGCCATTTCCCCTGTCAACGCGCATGTGTTCATCGAGTACATTCTTCCGCGCTTCCAGACTTCGCTTCTCGGCCCCTCCCCACCCGTGAGCCCACTCGTGCGAGCAACGTATGCCTCGTGCCTCGGAGGCCTCGCGTCAACTGCATTGCGCTTCCTTGAGATGGCGGCGACCTTGAAAGCCAACGGTGCTCTGACTGTGGCTGACCCTGAGGTGGAACCAGGCAAAGAAGCAGAGGTATTGGCTGATAATCTCTTCGATGATGCTCAGCGCGAACTCTTCTCCATGTTCGAAGCACACACGAAAACACTGATCGAAGACACGGATGTCTCGGTCCGGCGTGCCTTTTTGACATCGGTTCCGGAGCTGTGCATCTTCTTCGGCCCGGCTGAGGCCAACGACATTCTGCTCACCCACCTCAACACATACCTCAACGATCGGGACTGGAAACTGAAGTGCGCTTTCTTCGATGCCATAGTGGGGATCTCGCGCTTGTCGGCAGCGTCAGCCTCGAGGAGTTCATGCTGCCCCCTCATGGTGCAGGCGCTGACCGACCCGAGGAGTTTGTTGTGCAGTCCACTCTCCACTGCCTGGCGCAGCTGGCTAATCTCGGGCTCTTGTCCCGGGCGAGGTTGTGGGAGCTGATCGACATTATTGGCAGATTTACAATGCACCCAAACCAGTGGATTCGCGAGTCGGCGTCAGAGTTCCTCTCACAGGCGTCCAAGTTGCTGTCGCCGGCCGACATCATCGGTATCGTGCTGCCGCTCATTCAGCCGTATCTGAAAACAGACAGGATACCGGCATTCGGCGAGCTCGAGCTATTGGACACCTTGAAACGACCGCTATCCCGAGCTGCGTTCGACCAGGCTTTGAGCTGGGCGCAGAAGACCAAAAAGAGCAAGTTCTGGACGCCGTCGCAGGAGCTGCGTCCCTCAGTATCTAGGTCGTTACCCACCAGCCTTGCGACCAAGTCGTCCAAGGACCTGCACGTCAATACACTCAGGCAGTCAGCGAGGACGACGGAAGACGACCAGTGGCTGGCGAGGCTGAAGAACCTTGGCTTGAGCCACGAAGATGAGTTCAAGCTCGTAGCGTTGCGAGACTTTATCTGGCGGCTCAGCCGCACAAAGACCGGCATTGAGAGTCCCGGCGAGCCTACCACGACTAACGAAGTGGTATTCCTCCAGAGCCTCGGCATCACCCGTCAGACGGTCTTCTTTGACCAAGAGCTACCTCAGCAGCTGCCGGATACGCCTGAGCCGGTCAAGCAAGGGCCCTACACTATTGCGGACGCACTGCTCGATGCGTCCATGACGATCAACGACTCGGCGAGTAAGAGACGCCTGGCTACCTTGAACAGCTTGAGGACACGCGTGGTTGAAGGGCCTCCCTCTCGTGACGTTTCGCGCACACGACCGATTGACACAAAGAAGAGGTTAGGGACGGGTCAAGGGAGCCTTTTGACCGTCGGCAGCCCAGTTGATGACGATTCTTCCGTGAAGGATCAGCCTTATGCGTCACGGAGAGCCATGCGACACCAAGCAAGCGCGTTGAGTCTTCTGGGACGCAAGGAGAGTAATAAGAGCGTGCCTGAGACGAGCATGACGGAGACGAATGCTTTTGGAGAGGTCGAAGGGCCCTTTTCACAGGATACCGGCGCCCGCCCCGGTGTTGGGGACCGCCAACCGAGTGCGGCGACTCTCAGCGGAAATGTGAAGGCCAATCACTCATACGAGGGCAACGACCCCAGTATACTGAAGATGCTCGATGCCATGTACGTCAATGTGTTCCCGCATGACATTGTCGAATTTGGACCACTCGTCACGCCTGTCAGCCGCCGCGAGGCTGTCAACAAGACGACAGGACCCGGGGGCGAGGAGCCATGGAGACCTACCGGACGGCTTGTGGCGACTTTTGGGGAGCATGCGGGCGCCATCAACCGTCTCATCGCTTCCCCAGACCACGTCTTCTTCCTTACCGGCGGAGACGATGGCACCGTTCGGGTCTGGGATACGGCAAGGCTGGAGAAGAATATTACCAACCGCTCGAGGCAGATTCACAAGCACGCGCCTGACGCGCACGTCCTCGCACTGTGTTTCGTGGAGAACACGCATACCTTCATCAGCTGCGCCAGCGACGGCAGCGTCCACGTTGTCAAGGTTGAGACAGTGGGCGCCGCCGGGGTTCTGCGATATCTCAAGCTGCGCCTGCTGCGCGAGTACCAGCTGCCGCAGGGCGAGCATGCCGTGTGGTGTGAGCATTTCAAGATGGACGCCAGCTCAGTCTTGATGCTGGCGACGAACAGATCGAGGATCCTGGCCATTGACCTGCGGACCATGTCGCTGCTGTATGTGCTGGAGAACCCGGTACATCACGGCACACCGACGTGCTTCTGCATCGATCGCAAGCGTAACTGGCTCTGCGTGGGCACGTCGCACGGCGTCCTAGACTTGTGGGACCTGCGCTTCAAGATGCGCCTCAAGGGCTGGGGCGTGCCGGGCAAGAGCGCCATCCACCGCGTCTGCGTGCATCCTAGTAAGGGCCGGGGCAAGTGGGTCTGCGTTGCGGGCGGTACGGGCCAGGGCGAAGTCACGGTGTGGGACCTTGAGCGCACGACATGTCGCGAGATCTACCGGGTCGGCGGCGGCAGCAAGGAGGCGCTGAGGGGCTACGAGCCGTGGCAGGTCGACGAGGACAGGGTCGAGGGCATGCTGGGCCGGTATGCGACCAACATCGAGCCGAGCGGCGGCGGCGGCAGCCACGGCACGGCGGACGGCGGCGTGCGCGCCATGGTCGCGGGTACGGCGGTCGGCGAAGACACACGCGACGTGCGGCACGCATTCATCGTGACCGGGGGCTCGGACAAGAAGTTGCGGTTCTGGGACCTCGCGCGCGTCGAGAACTCGACCGTCTACAGCGGGCTCACGGCCGAGGAACAAAGGCCCGTGTTCACGGCGTCTCAGCCGACGGCGGCGCTGACGGTCAAAACGGAGAGGATCCCGCGTGCGGCGCCCACGGCACCCAATGCCGGGGCTGGGCGTGAGAAGAACGGTGCGGGCGGCGGTGGCGGGCGCAGCTCGCGGTCCACGGTCGTTTCGGTCCAGCAGCAGCAGCTCCTCAAGGCGCATCTCGACTCGATTACGGACGTGGCCGTGTTGGAGATGCCCTATTGCATGACGGTGTCTGCTGATCGGTCTGGGGTCGTGTTCATCTTCTCATGAGAGGGCGTTTTTGCTGCTTGGCGCTTGGGACAGGGTAGAACATGGATAGATACCGATACATGGTTCTGGGCTTTCTTTTTCAGGTGATCATGATCGACATATGGTTGTCCGTTGTCCTGTGATGTTTGCTTGCGAGTTGGTGATCGCAACATGGAATTCGTACCAGGATCAGCGACAAGGCCTCGAGCTTGTGTTGGATTGAACTTTGCTCCTTGGCATGAACTCCTCGCCCATGAGTGTCATTTATCAGAAACAAAAGCATCAGATCAAATCCATGAGAAGAGGCACCCTCTGCAGCTGTTCTCAAGGCTTCACACAGTGTGTACAGTGCGAACACAAGCGTCTAGCTCTTATCTTATCGCACCACCAAAATTTCCTCCCCGCAGCACTTGCACCTCACTGACTGACCCTGGTCTGGTCTGGTCGCTGCTGCCCGCTCCGTGCTTGCTCTGGGCGCCCACCACATTCCGCATACCGCATCTTCAGCCTTGTCCACCATGAGAAGCGCACTCAACGCTTAGCCCTGCCGATTCCTCCACCGCAACCAACGACTGTCGCCGCCACTATCCACCCTCCCTCAGCGGCTTGTACACGATTTGGACGGAAGAAGTCATACTCAGAGCCTTCAGTCTCAATCACCTTCGCCACGAGGCACACGACACCACCACGGTAACCCCACCGACCGCCCACGATGCGGCTCACGGCGGAGCTCATCAGGGACTCTCTCTCCTACCTGAACCCGCTCAAGGAGCGTGAGCTCGATCTCCGAGGTGCGTTGCGACAAGAACAGATGCTACACTTTTGATCTAGAGCCAGAATTGATAGCGAGGCCCCTTCGCCGGGCGCGTGCGAGACAGGACACCGAATCCCCGCCATTGAGAACCTGGGCGCTGCCGGCGTGAGTCTCTTTCCCTTCCTCTGCTCTGTACCTGCGACTGTCTGGCAGGGTCCGAGATGCTGTTCCCGCAATACAAACACAAGGCTGACAAGACAGCCCCACGACTCGATCGACTTCACCGACAACGACATCCAGCCCCTCGGCAACTTCCCCCTGTCGCCGCGCATCACCACCCTGCTGCTCGCCCGCAACCGCGGTCGCCTCCATACAGCCCGCCCTGCCCACCGCCATCCCGAACCTGCGCCACCTCGTTCTCGCCTCGAACCAGATCGCCGAGCTCGCCGACCTCGATGTCCTCGCCAAGTTTGCCCGCCTAACCCACCTCGTGCTGATCGAGAACCCTGTCACCAGGAAGGAGGTGCGTGGTCCCCTCCCCTTCCGCACGCGTCATGTTGACGAGCGAGCGAATGGAGGACCTTGGAAAAACTGACCGCGTCGCAGAACTACCGCTACTGGGTGCTCTGGCGGTGTCCCGGCGTCCGTTTCCTCGACTATGTCAAGGTCAAGGACGCCGAGCGCCAGCGGGCCGTTGCCCTTTTTGGCACGGCCGACGAGCCGACGGCGCTCGCCTCCAAGGTGCGTTGCCTACCCTCCGCCTTCTCAACACGGCATGCTGACTGCGCAGATCATGGGCGTCAAGTCCAAGACGTTCGACACGGGCGCTGCGGGCGGCACCCGCTACTGCCGGCGACCAGGCGCAGGGCTCGCGCCTGTCTCGCATCAAACTCACCGACAGGAGAAGAAGCGTCTGCAGGAGATGATCAAGCGCGCCGACAGCCTGCAGGAGATCATCCGGCTCGAGAAGATGCTCAACGAGGGGGACATTACCCCCCGGCGTGCACCTCGATGCTGATGTCATGGAGGAATAAACCTAGCTTCTTCTTGTGGCTTGAAACCTCTGGAGGATGGCAGTCGATTCTCGACATGAACATGACGGATGCAAAGGGCTGTGGAGGAGGGGAACAGCTGCCCCCGATGGCACATTTGCCACTTTTTTTTTGTTTCTCATTTTTCGTTACCACTTGACATTGTCACACGGCGTTAAAACGGCATCGGTAGAGGAAAAAACAGGTCCCGAGGGAGGCCTGGGTAGTTTATGATCAAAACACCTCGTTGTCATCATTATAGGTCATTACTGTACACTCCGTACATCCACTGCTGCTGCTGCTGCTGCTGCTGCTGCTGATACTGCGCCCCTGTCCACCACAGCGCGCGCGCATCACTCCCTTTCCGCCCAGTACCGCAAAACCGACGCGCCAACCGGCCACTAGCCCGTCATGTCGACGTCGCCATCGTGATCCGCCCCGGCCGCCTGCCGCATCTCGGCCTGCAGCTGCGCACTGGGGTCGTCCATGGCCGCAGCGGAAGCAGCAGAGGCCGCACCTGGGCCGCCGCGCGACGCGTGCCATTTGACGCCGTTGGCACCACCACCGGGCCGGAGCGCCCCCGTGTCCGCAGCACCATTGGTGCCGGGTACCGGTACCGGCACCGGCGGCGCGCGACTTCTTGGTGCCCGCCAGCGCGGGGCGCGGGTCGCCTGGGCCTGGCCTTGATCTCTTGTACGTGTCGTCTTGGGGATGACGTCCTCGAGGAACTCAAGATTGTCGTTGTGCGCGACGGCGTTGGCTTTGTTTTTTTTCTTTCTGTTAGTTTAGTGCCACCTATGGCGACCGAAACAGTAGCGAATAACTGCGAGGAAAACATGTGCTCAATGGAGGCGAGGGAGGACTCACCTAGGTCCTTGTACTGCACGTTGCGGCGGGGCTTCCGGTCGAGCTTGGCCTGGTTGTGGGCTTCGTTGGCGAGGTGCTGGATGAACATCTCCTGCGCCCTGTTAGCAGCTGGCCGTGTCGAATCGCCACATCGGCGAGGATCTGTCTTGCACGTGCCGTGGCGACTGTGATGATGAACGCGGCGTTGCTGGAACAGATGCTGATATCTGGGTCCTGAGCGATGATCTTCTTGACGCGAGCGACTGGAGCGGCCTTGTTAGTGCTCTGTCTGGCCGGCTGGCCGCTTTCATCGGTCGTGAAAGCTGGTGCACATACGGGGCAGGGCCGGCTGGCCTGTGACCTCCTTGCGGGGAGGGATGGCTGTGGTGTTGTAGGGCATGGCGGTGAGGACGTGGTGGGACTGAGAGAGCTGGTGGTAACGGGATCAGATCTAGAGGTCTCATTAGTGATGCGGTCATGAAGCTTCTCATTTGTGCTTGATGTGAGCGGCTCCTCATGATGCTTGAATTGCGTGACTACGAGGCTGATGACTTGAAGCTTGGCCCAGTGCTCACTTCGAGATGAAATCGGCATGGCTAACTCATCATAGTGTGTGCCAAGCTCACATTATCATGGGAAGCCTTTATAAGGCTGGGTCGACGTGAACGCGATCGTTGACAAGGAACATGCTTACCTCAACCGTCGTAGAAACCTCTAATATTCTGTCTGGTAAGAGTAGCACAGCTTCTCAACGTTGTTTGTCAAGTCTGGACAGCTATGAGAATTGTAACCACCGTCTAAGAGGTGAGGTTGAAAAGATGGGGCGTCAGGGACGCGTTGATGGTCGCGCGAGGGAGCTCCAAAATGCGCCAGCTGCCCTCGGCTGGCACCAACCCCTGATGTACCCCTGAACCCTCGCGCTCAGCATCGCTGTACAGGACATCATTCCAGCAGACTGCCCTATCCACAGTGTTTGAATTTGACGATGACATGGCTAGATTGAATAGAGGCTGCATAGAATCGTTATAAGAGTTGAAAGACATCGACAAATATCGAGCCTCGCGCTCATACAGCACCCCCAAGACCCCTCATGCGCCCTCCAGGTCCCTCACTCCAAGCCCAGGCCTACTGGGCTGTCTGACCGCTTAAACTCACGCAGCTCCTGGCCGACCATTGTCTTAAAGTCCAAACCAACTTCAGCCAGCATGGAGGCGTGCTTCTGCGCGCGATTCATGCACTCGGACCACACCTTGCCGTCGCGCTCCGTGCTGCTGAGCTGGCGAGAAAGAATCAGGTTGAAGGCCTCCACCTCTTCCTTGGCCCACTTGACGCAAGTGCTCATCATGGGCGGTGGGAAGCAAGACTGGTAAACGGTAACGGTGTTTTTGATGAGCGTAAAGTAGCAGAACGAGATCTCCCAGATGTACTGGTGGAGGTCGCCCTGGAACGTGCATTGCCTGGCATTCTGGGTTAGCATGGGTCATGGTACAGCTGACAGCAAGCTTGACTGACCTTGATCGATGCTGGATCACATTGTGCCTCGCCAGGAGGTACGACTCGCGCGCACGGTCTTCGTAGCCGAGTCTCGTCAGCCATGACACGATGCGCCTCGTCTTGCTGGCCATGTTGTGGTACATGTCGAGCTCGCGGAGCAGCATATCGGCCACCTTGACGCAGCGCTCTTCGACCTTGAAATTGATAAAATCCTGCGCCACGGCGTTGCTCTTCAAGCCCCTCGCAAGCTTCTTGAGCTTCTCGACCCTCTCAACGGCATTCTCGAAGTGTTGCAGCGCAATTTCAATGTCGAGCTCGTCCATCTGGCCCTCCACCCAGCGGAGGTTCTGTTGATTGCCGTCCACCTCGATGCGCATGTCTTTGATATCCGACAGAGTCTCCAGGAGCTCAGCCTTCTGCAACAACCCCGGGTCGCGTGACGCAAAGTAGTTGATCGTCTCCTTGGTCTTATTGTTGGCCTCCATCTCAGACTGCAGGCTCTTGCGGAGCTCCTCCACGGCCTTGCGAATGTTCAGAAGCAGGGACGGCTTGTCGGGATCGTCCGGTTTCTCCGTGCGTAGAATAAAGACTCCTGGCCGTTGCCTCGGACGCGAATGCGTCCATCAGCTTGCTCCTCGTGCTGGACGACTCGCTCGACCCAGCCATGTCGAACTTCACATCAGGAGGGCCAGCACGGTCTGCAACCAGCTGATGATGTTGCTTGTCCTCACGGGTGCCCGTCGGTCTGGCGCTCTGCGACGCGATGAGCAAGCAAGAAGATCTGGGTGGCGCGCCGGGACTTGTAGGTGGGATTTGTCGAGTTCGATCCACTGGGCGGCCTTCTGTATGACATGGCGACCGGGGGCGTTGGGCAAGAACTTTTTGCGTCCCCTCGACATTCTTGTAAAGGGCCTGCATCTGCGAGTTCCACAAGTCGCTGCGGTCGGCTACGGAGCTGCGCTTGTCCCTCTTGCTGAGGCCTGTTGACAGCTCGCCATTGAGGCTGGTTGATTCGTTACGACCGCCCGCTGCTGCACGGAGAGAGGTAGTGTTCGCCTTCAACTCGGCCATGAGGTTTCGGAGCGTCCGCATTTCATCCTTCAGCTTGTCGGCTTCGTGGGCAATCTTGATGAACTGGGTACGGTTTTGCATCACATTCTGTTGGAGATCGGCCTGGGCTCTTGACTTGAGTTGTCGCAGGGAGTCCTGGTACTCCTGAATCTGGTCCTCAGTTGCATCACTGAGCAGCCCGGCGACATCTGAGAAGCATATGGTCAGTGGTCAAGTCGCGAACGATGGGTCATCATCTTCCCACATTGATCGGCGTTGAGATTGGGATCTCGTAGAGCCTTCAGGTCGATCGTGGGTGCCGCGCCACCTCTAGATGGTGGAGGCCCTCCACGCTTCTCGCGAGATTCGTACTTGTCGAGAGTAGGTAAGGCGGGCACGGGGGGGTTGTTGACGTCGAAGCCTGCCTCGGGAAAGTTGCCAAAGCGTGTTGAGTATCGTCGTTTGACTAGGTCGGAGGTCTACGTCCAAAGCACGCGTCAGCTTTCTGTGCATGATCTCTCTTGTTCATTCGACCTACCGCATTACCTCCGCCAGGCTGAATCGGAGGGCGCTGGCGCTGCTGGGGAGGCGGTGGTGCCTCATTGACGGGTCGAAGGGCTGGGCCACTGGCAGGGCCATTCGCATTGCGCAAGGGAGACGGTCCATTCTGTGGGATGGGTTCAGAGATCTGTCGCGGGGCGCTGATGGTTGGGCGACCCCCCTTCCGGCGGGGGCCTGATCTCAAGGAGATCCTACTGCGTTCGGAGGACATTGGATGGGCCGGATAGGTGAGTGTTGGACCAGAGGCCGTGATGCGAAAGAGGCGAGGTTGTCGGTAGTGGCCGAGATGCCACTGCTCACATTCACTTCCAGTGTGGTGGCAGTGACGAGACGCATCAACCTGGGGTTGAATGAAAATGTAGGTAGGTAGCTGGTGTTTCGTCAGGACCGGGGTTCAGGTCGTCGACGTTGACTGAGCTCTGGCAGCTCAGACGTGTTGGCTTGGCCTGTGTGGGGAACAGCTTGGGAGTGATCAGTAGCCTGTAGTTACAGGCGTCCAGCATCCGTGGGTCGGCGTGGATGTTTCTCTGCCAGAGCTCACGGTTTTGGCGATGTTTAGCCGAACACACATGCATCGGACAAGGCCTCGCTGGTGTGGTGCTGCACTGGCGCGTGAGACCCCGGCTCAAGCCAACTAAAAAAATTGGTAGTAGAGCTCCATCAATCGAGCGCCCTACCGAGTCCCTGGCCGATAGACCAGCTTCATTTCTCGACACTCGACCTATCAACCCCCGACGCTCCCCCATCTCGTCACCACCCTCAACTCTTTGACGACCAGCTCCTAGACCGAGCCCGCTCCGACGTCTGCCACCGATCATCCATCGCTTGGATTTCTTGTCGCCGCCTTTTCTCTTTCGAGGCTCCTTCGTTCCATCTTCATTTCATCATGGTCCAATCATCCACGATAGTGACGGCATCCGTCGCCGCTGCCGCGACCGGCGTTGTTGGTAAGTTTCTTATCAACCTCCTTGCCAGGGCTTGAGGGAGTAGATGAGAGCTCGACCGAGGCATCATCAGAAACTATCAAGCACCCCTTTGGCTGTCCGCATTGCGTCGTCTCTGGCAGCATAAGCACCATGCGCCTGATTGTCCTATGGGATCCTCCACTCTACGCACAAGGCCATCGTCCGCTAACCAGCATGCACCTCTTCAGCCTACCTCTTCTACTTCGACTACCAGCGCCGCGTCAACGCCAACTTCCGTCGTGACCTTCGCCGCAACGAGCGCAAGCAGCACCGCGCCGAGAAGGAGGAGGCCCAGCTCGAGACCGTCCGCCAGCGTCAGGCTATCGCTCAGGCCGTTGTCCAGGCGAAGGAAGAGGGCTTCCCTGAGGATGTCGAGGGCCGCGAGGCCTACTTCCTGCAACAGGTCTCCGAGGGCGAGACGCTGGCCGCCGATCGTGAGTTTGCCATTGCTTGCTTCTCTCCCCCCGTCGGGCCAGTCTTGCTACAAAGATGGGGGACAACAGCATGATCGGAAGCTAACCGCTGCGAAACAATAGCCAACCACGTCGTCGAGGCCGCTCTTGCTTTCTACAAGGGCCTCAAAGTCTACCCTACCCCCAACGACCTGATCAGCATCTACGACAAGACCGTCCCCAAGGTATGCGAGACCACTCTCACCATGACTTCAACCGAGGTTGCTTGCAGACGCTAATCGCATCACAGCCCGTTCTCGACATCCTCGCTGAGATGATCGCCTCCGACTCTGATCTGAAGATCAGCTCCGGTGGCCAGGGCTCCTACACCGGCAGCGGCCCTAACCTGTCCGACATGCCCACCGTCGGACTCGACTAAAGCGCTGTGACGGCCACAACATCCAGGGTCGTTCCCGTCGAGCACACCTCGAAGGGCCTGGCCCGACGATCCAACTCCTCCACTCTGTACCACCGCCCAAAAAAGAAAAACCCACTCCGAAGCCGGACATCGCAGGAGCGACCCCCTCGTGCAGCATTGTTCACAGCGATATCCGGCATGAAGGGGCAATCCTGACCCACAAGATTTACGACGTCTTTGATTGTCTCATAACCATCCAAATGCGCTGTCTGATAGAGGGGACCCGCGGGGGAGAAAGACAGTCGACGCGTGGTAGTATACTGATGATTGGGGGGAGAAAGGGGAGGGGGGGCGAAGTTTTGTTAAAAAGTGAAAGGGGGTGCGTAGCCCGAGGCGGCGCGTCCGCGGACAATACACGTTTAATTGCCCTGCTACACGTCATGCTGACATTGTCCCATTACTGTTTTCGATTGGCGCGATCTTGCTGTCATTGTTCACGGCACGACATGTTAGGACATGTCAGGACCATGGGCATTCAGGGGCACGTATACGTGGGGTTGTCATGAATCGTATTTTTTTTTTCAACTACTGGGTTGCAAGATACCCGCCCAACTTATTTGGCTTCAATCTTCCGGCCCTTCCTGTCGACGCGGTCGTCACGGGGGTCGAACCCGCCGTTGCCCCAGGTGGCCCACTCGGGCGTCGCGGGCCCCATGTAGTCCTCGGCGCGCCACTCGCCGTCGGGCCCCCTCTCCTCGAGCAGCTCAAAGAAGCGCTGGTAGTCAATGGTGGTGTGCCACTTGCCGTCGACCCGGAAGCGGTCGCTCGCCAGCAGGATGCAGCAGCTGTGAGCGTGCTCGGCGGCGATGCCGTACTGGAGGCCCTTCTCGCCGAGGCGGGCCTCGAGCTTCTTGACAAAGTCGCAGACCTCCCAGTACCAGGGCACGTTGCTCATGCTGAGGCCGGCGTTGGAGGCGGTCGAGGTGCCGCAGTAGGTGACGCCCTTGACCTCGATGAAGCAGGGCAGGCCGCGCTCGACGAGGGCGGCGTAGCCGTCGACCTCCTCGTCGACGTTGAAGCCCTTGACCAGGGTCAGGCGGTAGACGGTGCGCTGCTTGAGGCGGCGCTCGCGTAGGATGTCGAGGCAGCGCATGAAGCGCTCCCAAAAGTCGCGGTGCAGCGGCCGGTCGATGCGCCGCAGCGACTCCTTGTCGGCGGCATCGATGGACACGTAGAGCTGCGTCACGGCGCGCAGCGAGGCGAGCTGTCCGGGGTGCTGCGCGTTGCAGACGAGGAAAGGACGAGATGCGCTCGGCGTGCAGCATGGCGAGGAACTCGTTGATGTGCGGGTAGAAAGATGGGCTCGCCCACGAGGGAAAGGGCGCAGTGGCGGATCCGCAGCGCCTCGGCGTACCGGTCGGCGCGCACACCCGCCATGCCGCGGAGCACCTTGATCTTTTGGTAGTGGCCCGCCTTGACGCCGTTGAAAATGTCCTCGGGCGGGTCGACGACCCAGCGCCACGTCGTGCCGACCGGGTTCGTGCCGTGGCGCCAGCAGAAGACGCACTTGTTGGAGCAAGACAGCGACGGCGTCGTTTCCATGCACTGGTGCGAGGCGATGCCGTAGAACGAGAACTTGTAGCAGGAGCCGCGACCGCGCAGGGCCGACTTTGTCCACCGACAGATCTTGACGCCCGAGTGTGAGCCGACGATGGTGTAGCCCTGCTTTGTGAGCGAGGCATAGGTGGGCGAGTTCTTGGGCACCATCTCCTTGACCGTCGGAGCGGGCGCCTTCTTGGCCGCCGTCTTGCCGTAGGTCGTAAAGTCGACAGCGATGGGCGCTCCCTTTCCTGTAGACGGCGCGGCGTCGGGTCTGGAATCCCTCATGATGCGGCCCAGATCCTCGACGTCTTCGAGGTTCTTGCTGTTCTTCAGTTTTTCCGGCTTGGCTTCGCCGTCCTCAACCAGGGTCTCGTCGTCGTCTTCTTCGTCAACGTCCTCCTCGTCGCTCTCGACAGGCGCACCGCTGCCCGGCATGCCCTCACCGAGACCACCCGTGCGCGCCAGCTGGCCCAGAATCTCGACGATGCCCTCCGACCATTCCGCCAGTCGCTCGGCGTAGTCCGTCTTGGGGTCGCCCATGCCGACGGGAGCAGCTCGCTTCCTGCCCGTCAGCCTCGCCATCCACTTGTCGAGCTCCTTCGCCTGGAAGCAGAAGCCCTCCTGCTCGTTGGGCCAGCCCTCGCGGTCGCCAAAGCCAAAGACAGAGTAGCCGAGCAGCGGGGCGAGCGGGGCCGTGTCAATCCTGAAGTCGTGGTGAATCTCCTTGAGGTGCTCGAGGAACGTGTCGTTGATGGTGTCAATGTTGAAGCTCGGCAGCAGGAACAGGTACAGCAGCTCGACGTCGCCCTTGGCCTTGGGCGGCGTGATGAAGTAGTCGTCAAAGTCGACCTCGGCGAGGTCGAGGAGCTCGGGCGCCTCGAACGTGCAGCTCGTCTCGGGCGCCGCCCGGTGCATGTCGCGCCCGAGGTCCTCGGCGAACTGCTTGGCAATCTTGGGCGTCGTGGCCGTGATGCTCGAGAAGAAGATGAGCGGCTGGATCCGGCGCGGCGGCCGCGCTGCGGCCTTGTCGACGCTGTCGTCCGAGGACCGGCGGCGCACGACGCCGCCTTTGACTCGCCTCGGGCCGGTGGCCGTCTTGGGTGCTTTGGGTGCGGCAGATGCTTCGGTGACGAGGGGGAGCTTTTCGGTTTTCGCATCGCGCGCGAGGGCCGCCTTCTCGGCGACTGTCTTGTCGGCGGCGAGCTTCTTGGGCAGGGCCTTTGGCTGTTCGGGTCTTTCGCCGGTGACCTGCAGATAGATTCGGAGGCCGACGAGGCCGAGAGCGACGACGAGCAGCACAGGGATGCGAACCTGCTGCCATGCATCGTGGAGGTCTGGACATTTCGGTAGCCATGTCAGCCACTTTGCGCACGAGTCGATTGGCTAGGTGGTCTCAGGAGGGCAGTTTCTCTTACCATTGAGCAGGGGCATCAAGGCCCAGCTGTCCCGGGAACCAGACATGGTTTGATACTGTAGTATTCGGTCAAAGACCAGGTCTTCAGTCAGTCGTCGCAAAGGGGGGGAAAAAAAAACCTCCGAGGGCTGTCGACGCTCTGAGCGATGCAGAGATGGTGCCCCGCGGTCGACGTTTGGTCGATGTCGAATTCACTAAAATAAAGTCTGCCGCATTGGCGCGGGGCTTCCTGCATGCCTGCCCCACCTCGCCCACCACAGAACAGACAGGCTCCTGGAGCCCCCTTTCATTTTGTCTTAACATGTAGACTGCCTACCTAGGTGCCTTGCATGCCTTCAGTTTTCAGACTTCAGACTCTGGAAGCGGGCTTCTTGCGAAATGCTCTCAATTCTATTCACGAGACCTGTCTGTGACGACGGCCGAATCGCTGACGTGACGCTGGTGTCCTACATGCCGGGCTCTTGCTACCAACCAGAGGACGCTCGACGAGCCAGTTTGTGCATCATGAGCGTCTCCGCCTGCGCTCTTGATGTATCGTACATCCCACCTGCAGTCCTTAGGCAGGCGATCCCAATAGCTTGACAATGTCCGCCATACGCGTCTCCTTCGTTTTCTCCTCCTTGCTCTTCTCCTGGAAAGCCTTACTGATAAGCTGCCGCTTCGCCGCCTGAATCTCCAGCACCTGCTCTTCGATTGTGTTCTCCATGACAAGGCGCCACACTGTCGTCGGCCGCTTCTGACCCAGCCGGTGCACGCGATCGACGGCCTGATCCTCGATGGCCGGCGCCCACCAGCTGTCCGCCAGAATGACCGTGTCGGCCGCGACGAGGTTGAGGCCGACGCTGCACACAGCCAGACTGGCGAGCATGACCTTCGTGTCGGCATCGTCATACAGCGCCGCGATGGCGGCATCGCGTTTGTCGGGCTTCATGCTGCCGTCGATGCGCGTCCACTTGAGCCCCGCCTCCTCGATCTGCGTCTGGATGATGTTGAGGAACGACGTCCACTGCGAGAAGATGACAACCTTGGACTGTGGGTCCTTGCACGTCGCCTGAACAATCTTCAGCAGTGCCTCCGTCTTGGAGCTCTTGAAATCGCCGTCGAACGCATTGGCGTCATCGTCCTGCCCTTCCTCGGGGGCCGGCTCAAGTAGGTTTTCCATGCCCAACGTCTGCCGGCACATGGGGCACTTCCTCTGCAGCTCAACAACCTTGGTGATGCACCTCCGGCAGTAGACATGCTTGCAGTGCGTAATGACGGGCTCGCTGAGCGTGTCAAAGCAGACGGGGCAGTCCTCCTGCGTCTCGATGAACAGCCGCAGCGCCTGCTGCAAGAGCGCCTTGTTCTTGTCGTTGAGGATCACGACGTCTTGGCCCTCGAGGACCTTGAGCAAGTCGTCTATGCGAGCACGACAGAGCGTCCAATGATTGCATGTCTGCCGCAGGCGCAGCAGCTTCTCAAGGACGCTCTGAAATTGTACGCGGCCCGTCCTGGCCTTACGCTGGTATTCTTGGAGGACGCCCTGCGCCTCTTGCAGCAGCACCTTGTACTTTTCGTTCTCGTCCCTCCTGAACGTGATTCGATGGACATACTCTGTCTTGAGCGGGAGTTTAAGGTCGACAAAAGCCATGTCCTTCCTACGGCGAAGGCACAAATCGTACATAATGCTTTGGAGAAGGGCTTCCGCTCTTTTGTGCCCCCAGGTCAGGGGTCGCGTAATGACCGTGTTGAAAATGGTTGGCTGCTCGACGCCGCCCGTCATATGGAGGAACGCCAGCATTGATTGGAGGTCCTGGAGATTGTTGACACTGGGTTCGTAAGCAGATGTTCTCTCTTGTGATTCGAGGTTTTTCAATCTGAGGACAAACGTACATTGGCGTGCCGGTGAGCACCCACCGAGACGCGGCCCTGAGTTGGCAGGCCGCCCGGGCTGCCTGAGTCTTCGCATTGCGGATGGTATGACCCTCGTCGAGCACGACTCGCCTCCAGTCAACACTCATCAACGGTCCACGAGCAGAATCCGTCTTCTCCAGACGCTCCTTGGCTAGCTTCCCGTAGCTTGTTATGACGACGTCGTACTCGGACAACTCTTCAGAGGCCGCAGAGCCGTGGTGGATGTGGATTTTCGGTGCCTTATCCTTGCGAACGTGTGCATCGAATTGCTGTTGCCAGTTGCTCATGACACTCACGGGCGCCACGATCAATGTCGGGCCGCTGCCTGTGCCTGAGAGGACCAAGCTGATCACCTGCAATGTCTTTCCGAGACCCATGTCATCGGCAAGCTTCGGGAAGCATCGTCAGCAACTTATACGCCAAATCCAGGCTGGAGGCAAAACTCACAATCCCGCCTGATAGCAGTTTTGCCTCACCAGCGACGGAAAATTTCGTCGCGATATTGACCATGCCGCGCTTGTTCTGTTGCCATCTCCACAGCTGGACTGAATCGGAGGAATCCTTCTTCGGGAGCTGGGGGTCTTCTTTGGCAAGCATCCAGTGCAGGCCTTGCAGCTGATACGGAAGCAGTTTCGACACCAAAAAGGCCGGCTCGTCCGCCATGGGCATGGCAGCCATTTGCTCTTCGGTCATGGTTTTGATGGCATCCGCACCCTTACGTACATCGATTGTCTCGCTCGTTGCCACGAGATCCACTATGGTTACACCCTCGGGCGGTTCATACTTCGTCGCGTTGCGAGCCTGCTGCATACCCAGCTCGGCAGCATCAGCCCTTGCTTTGAAGTGCGCGTTCGTCTCTGTTCCGACTCCGCGAAATTCTACGCCGCGAGCCTCCTCTTCACGTCTCGTCTCGGCCTCGGTCCTACTCGAGCTGAGCTCGGCGGCCTTGAAAATCCTGTCTTTCTTAAGGCGGTCTTCCAGGGCTCTGCGCGCGGCGCGATCACTTGAACCGTAGACCCTCAGGCGGATGGGACAATCGTAGAAATTCATTTCGCCGCTCAGTTGACACTCTAGCAATATCTCGCCTCGATCCTAGGACGGTTGTCAGCTGTCCAACTTCCCGTCCATGATTCGTCGGAACCTGGGGCGGCCAGGGACTCACCAGGTAAGGTGCGAGTTTGGCAGCCACGTTGCGCGGTATGTGTCCAATCTGGTCTCCCAAAACATTGGTCACTTGCAGAGCATTTGCATCGTACTTTTGCCCCCGTCAGTGTCATGGTTCCGTGCTGCCACACAGCAATCCAACATGGCGCTTAGAAGTCAGTCGCATACCTGATTGTGAGGTTCTCGGTTTGCACAGCACGATCTCTCCCGCCGAGGCGTTGCCAGCATAATATCGAACGCCAACAACCTTGGTAGCTGCCGCAGAGTCAGTTTGATGTGATTACCTGGTCAAGAGACCAGTATGCGAGGCATGTCACGGGAAACGTACGCAATGATCCGTAAAACTCCATTGACGGTTCATCATTGGACTGCGTGAGGTCAATGACCTCGACGTCATCCGCGATGGGCTGAGACGATGATGGATAGACCCTCCCGTTCTGGGGGCCCCGATGTGGAGGCACCCGTGGACTCCACGATGACTGAGACGCAGAAGTGGCGTTATGTCTTTGACTCGAGCTCGACTGGGATGAAGCTATGTGTCCTCGACTTGGAGAGCTCTGCGAGGGGTGTGACGACGGAGCATGTCTCTTGCGTGGTGGCCCTCCCGAGAAGGTTTCGTCTCTACCACTGCCTTCGTCCACATCGTCTGTGAGGTCGATGACGTCGTGATACCTCTTGGGACCTGACATGCTGGGAGAACAGACCGGGTGGGTTGTAGGGCTGTCGACCCAGCCTATGGATTGGAAAGATGCAGTGGTGTAGCCTCCGGCGCTTTCTCTTGAATTGAATTCTAGTAGTCAAGAAAGAAAGATATGGGACTACGTTAACATGGGTGAAAGGGAATCAGATGGGCATTGAAATCCCAGGCCATGGAGCGAGACGCGTTGGTTCGTGTCAAGGTTCATTTTCCTTCCCGTACAGTACAGGGCTGCGGGTCCGGCAGTTTGGCGTATGCCGGCCCTCCTGCCAGGTGGCGGATTCCAGGTTCCGGGTGCTACCTTCCCCTGCAGCTGCAGGTCTAAGCCCATTGAGGCCTAATGAGGTCCACTAAGACCCTGACTACATGTACAGACATGACCTGCCTGCTCTGTCTACCAATCTTGGTTTGCGGCACCACTCCTTGCAAATACTTCAAGCAGGGACGGCACATAGCGCAAGAGGATAAAGCAGCATCAACAACGACTTGACTATTCTCACTAGCGAAATACTCTCATCTTGACGACAAACGTGCTCCAGGCATGGTTTCTACAGGCTATCCACGAGAGGGCTGAGTCCCTGCGCCGTGCCGATCCGCCTCTCGAACCAATCCCTCAGCCTCCCGACCTTCTCTCTGTCCATCATCCAGTCCATGAAGGCGGCCGTGTTGGTCGAGTTGAGCGTCTCGAGCGCGCCCCAGGGGAAGCCGTCCGGCAGAGGCACGTCGCGTCGGACCGACCAGCCCTGCAGCTGCTGGTACTCAGGCGACAAGATGTAACTGTGCAGCAGCTTCGCGCCCTCGGGGTGAGGCGCATCCTTAGGGATCGCGGCCGTCTGGGGCCAGGACACGAAGAACCCCTGCTCGGGAAGTGTGATGTTGATGCCTGTCGGCGCCTGGTATCCGATAGACGACGTGAACGAGGCGGCCTGCGTCATGTTGGCGGCTGAGAGGACCGTGTTCGGCGTCGCCGTGCCGCGGACCCAGCGAGGGTTCTGGGCGAGCAATGCGTCGAACCAAGCGACTCCGTAGCGTTGGAGGCTGCGCTGCGTGTCAGCCGATGCTTCAACGCCCAAAAAGGAGGGAACACAGCAAAACTTACACGAGATCAAAGGCGTAGAGAACGGCGTCGTCGTCGTTAGGGTAGGTCAACACCAGCTTATTCTTGAGCTCTGGCTGGAGGTAGTCGTTCCATTCCTTGATGGTGATGCCGGGCAGCTTCTTGGTGTTGTAGATGGTGGACCAAAAAAATATGACTATGCCATACCAGGATGCGCCGACAGAGTCCTTATAGGCTGGTGTAATCTCATCAAATCCCAGAGGTGCGTAGTTCAGCAGAGCGCCCTCGTCCGACCAGCGGGGATAGTCGTGGACGGTCTGTAGTATGATCGAGTCGACGGTGACGTTTCCATGTGCCAGTTGGTCGTCGAAAGCGGCGTCATGGTACTTGGAAAGGTCGACAGTAACGTTGAGAGTCATGCCAGGAAACCGGGCCTCAAACGCCTGCTTGAGGGCATCTTGCTGGTTCGTCTCGTCGCCGCCGTGCCACAGCGTAACAACGCCGCCTTCAGCAAGGGCAGCCTTATGGATTTCATCCAGCGACCTGACCTCAACCTCCGGAGTGGAGTTGAACCTGAAGAGTGTATCGGCAGAGCAAAGTTGGATGCCAATTATCAGGGCACCACAGAGCTGTGAGAGGGTTGACGGCATGATGTGATGTAGTAGAAGAGGGGGTGGGAGGCAACGATTATCCGGGTTGACTTGAACCCGCCAATCGAGGCCAGAAGGTCTCCGGTGATTTTATAACATCCACAACAGATCATGAACAGGGTATCCTGCGTGACGTCGATGATCCTCTTGTTGCTGCCTTGACATCGCGCGCGGCTAGCTCGACCCGAACGTTTTCAAATCGGCATTTAACGAGTCAGAGGTGGTGAGAAATCGCGATGACCAGGTTCCTAGGGTGTTGTTTCAGCTGCTCTGGTCACTTTTTTTTTTTGGCGTAAGCTAGGCACCATGATTCAGTTTGCCTTGCCGCCATCTCCGAGTTTTGGCATGGGGATGGTGCGCTGGCCGGCCGGACAAGCGGCCAAGCTTGATCTGATAACCTAGTCCGGTGCACTGCACCCTATCCCGGCCATCGGGCCGGCCGACGACACCAGTGAAGCGAATGACGTAGGCTCATCAACCCAACCGGATACGACACATCAATTACGATGACAAACCCAAAGTGTTTTACGACTCACGCAATGCAACGCATGGATGCTGTAGATTTACCGGTATACTGAGGGGTGCTGTGAACAGAGCTCGCATCGGAATGTTCCGAGCCCTCGGAACATGAAGCTGTCTTCCGGATCCCTTCTCGTATTTGCCCTTCGTCAGCAATTTACACAGACAAGAAGGCCCACCGAAAGAGATATATGGCTCGCTGGTTCAGAGACAACATTAGTACTCTGGTCAGGGCACACACACTTTGCTTCGACGGCAATCGCATGTTGATGTGTCACACTACTCGATATCGAATGGGCGAAGTCCAACTTGCACTACAGTCCACCCAAGGGTCAAGTATCTCCGTCGCTCTCGTTCAGTCAGCAATTCTCTCTCATGTAATGTACTTTTGCGTACCTACTTTGGGGTGAAAAGGGCCGGTCGGTGCGAGGACAAAGAGCATAGATACATCATCCATTCCATTCAGACACTCCACAAAATCGCCTTGATATTTCATGCCAGGCCACAAATCGATGAAAATAACCTGCATCTCATGACGCTGAAGTCAAGCTTCATGAGCCACCACCGACGCCCAGTGCGCCTACAAGTTGTACCGAAAAGTGTCGTCATAGTCACTGAAGCCCACGTTGGGCTGTTCCACCACCACTGGAAGCTGCGTCGCCAATCTCTCCCTCCGCTTCGCATTCACATGCCGCAGTGCCAAGACGTGTAGAATGACAAGCACGATCCCAAATGAAGCGAAAGCTGTGTTGATGCGCACGCCTTTGAGATACCGTGGCGCGCTCGAAGTGGTGAAGATTTGGCCAACGACGATGCCTGAGCTGTTCCCTACGCTGTACACGATGCCGAGCGCCGTAGCACGCTTGAAGTGTCCCGCGAAATTGCTATTTAGCCACACAATGCAAAGGCCACACTGTCAAAAGAAACTTTAGTGAACCGGCCATACGATCACTTTTGTTCACATGGCTTACCGTGCGTAGACGCCTGTTCCGAGGCAAAACACTGCCGCGAGGCGGACTCCAATGGTCGTGCTAGCGAGCATCATCGAGTAGCCAGTGATGAGCGCCAAACACGCGCCAATGATGAAGGGGCTGCGCAGTCCGATACGGTCAGACGCCAAGGCAATACCGATATAAGCGACGGTGGCCCAGAGGTAGACCGGCACCGTGAGTAGCTGGGCCTTGACACTAGCGTACCCCAATCCTCTGATGACGGCAGGCAAGAAGGTCATGAAACTGAAGAGCGAAAGACTGACGCAGAACTCGAGTACGGCATGCAAGTATAGTTTCGGGTCTTTGAAAGCGCTGAACACCTTGGCCCACGAGAACTTGTCCTCGAGAGACAGGTGAGGGTTTAATTCGAAACGAAGACGCATGACTTCGCGCTCCTGTTCATTCAAGAACCAGGCGGTCCGCGGATCCTTGGGGAAAATGGTAAAGAGGACAGGAACGCAGGCGATGGTGATGATGCCTTCGATGATGAATAGCCAGGACCAAGAGGGCAGGCCGCCTGCGTTGATGTTGGAAACGGCTGAGGCTAGCAGACCTCCCACAGCACCTGCCAAAGCGCTGAAGCCGTACATAATGGCAGAGCGCAGGGACATCTCATTACGGAGATAGACCATGCCGATGTAGGCGTTGATGCAAGGTATCAGTCCGGCTTCGAACGCACCGATGATCAGGCGGCAGGCGTACAGCTGTTGGACGTTGGTGATGAAGCCCATGCCGAGGCAAGTGACGCCCCAGCCGAGCATACAGACCGACAGCAGGTTTTTTGGTCCCACGACTTTGAGGGCAATTGAACAAGGGGCCTCGAAGGCAACGTAAGTCGCGAAGAATAATGTTACTGCGTTGCCAAATTCATTGCCTTTGAGGCCCAGATCTTCGGGCAACCCCATGATATTGGTGTTGCCCTTCACAACGAGAAATTCATGTCAGTCATCTTGAAGGTCAGAGTACGGCAGTTGCGCGAATCGGCGACTCACCAGGTTGTTTCTGTCCAGATTCGCCATGAGATACATGATTCCAAAGCATCCCAAAACGACTGCGTCGAGCTTAAGCATGACCCGTTTCTGCAAGACTGGATCAATAGCATTGCTCGATTCCGCCACGACACTCCCAGCCGTTGGCGTTGTGGTCACGTCCCCTTCTTTCTCGTCCATCTTGAGCGACATGACGGATGAGGCGAAGGATAATCTGGGCAAGATAGGGTATTTTCGAGGTAAGTCAGACGTATAATGTTACAAGACTGCACCTAAGTTTGCGGATCGATTGATGCTTGACTTCTCAGGTTTGATGAGCTCTCCTCTTACCGTATCATTCGCGAGGCGTCACCTCAATATATCTACACCAGGCCATGGGAATATTGCCCCGCGGTAATGTGCTGTGCTCTCTATCGAGATCTACCTTCTGAATGATGCTCAGCGCATGCCTACCTATCAATATTCCGCCAAGAATCTGGGGGTTGACCTCGGTCTTCCTCAAAGACCGGGAATCTTATCTTGACGTGGGGTAAGGGCGTCGCCGAATTCGATCCGATAAGAAGGCTATGATCTTTAGGCACGAGAGGATTAGGTCCTTGTGCACTCATGAGTACTTCGAGATACTTGTGACGCTGAGATGGAGGCATATTTTCTGCCCGATGCAGTCAGGTCGGGGTTGATCAGCGGGCTTAGGGGGACTCGACCTTTTGCCCGCGGCGCCGTCTTATCGCCCGGCGGGCAGACTGTTCCGCAGTCGACGATCGCCTCCGGCCGGCCGCAGCTTCACAAAGATGCGACTGGCGTACCGGATGGCGACATGGGAGAGACGGTAGTGCTTATAGTCATCTTTGCTCATGCTGTGGAGGACAAGCAGCATGTCGATATCAAATTCACTGAATCACCGAGCATCTATTCGACAGAGACAAGGGAGTGCACAGAATCTAGCCAGAGGAGATAAGCAAGCAAGTGTTCTGTTCTGAAGTCGAAGTCAATGTGAGGAACTGGATCTTGCTGGCAACATGCTTAACCGGAGATCAACCACTCTGATGCTGCAGGCTCCGAAAAATGATCTTCCTACACTTTCATCTGAGCACAAAATTGGCGGACTGAAGGTGTATCAATGAAATAGGAGGTGTTGGTGGCTTGGTCGAAAAAGCGTGAAGGGTTGATAGGCGCCAAGTGGTTTGCAGGCTACGTTGCCCCCTCGCAATGCAGCAACCTAGGGTGATGAGAAAACCGAAGTTTTGCTGACACTCCTCCTAAGATATTATACTATGCGTACGTGCTGAATATTACCTATGTTAGAGACCCCGAGTACGTGGGTTCGAGGACTACTGTGGAAGGACGTTTTATTACTTGTTCTCCTCCTGAGCACGACCATGGCTCCTCGTGCAGGCGCATTGTGCTGGATAGGTTTACCTTTACCAACAGGTAGAACAAACTGCTATGGATGAGTGGCACTTTCAAGACTTGATCACTAATTCCGAGCTACCAAGGTAAGGTAGGTAACGTTGGTAGGTAAGGTACTCGGGGGCCTTGAATGGGCTTCCCCGCGACACCCTACCTTAGGTGCTGGGTGGGTTCCGCGACGGACGAGCAGTGAGGTAGCACCAGCCAGCGATGAATGAGATTATCGAATGTTGCCCCGATAAGCACTACCTGTAGCCGTCAGTACATACACGGAGTACTTGAACCGCGGACGGATGCCACCCTGTCAAGCCTGTTGATGAAGCCTCCAGGCCCTTGATCCGAGAAAACCACGCCATCGCGGGTGGATCCATTCCGACCAATGATATGTAAGTTGCAAAATCACGACATTTCACGTGACCAAAAGATGGTCCAGCAGAAGGGCAATGAGCAACTATGCGGCTCTCTCTGGTGGCTTTCTCTTCCTGCAACCTCATTTCATCTTCTCATGCTTGTGTAGGATGGTTCTTCGTTATATTTGCTATCCATATTAACCCTTATTGGGTTACACGACTTGAGGATGTTGAACTCCGGTTAGTCGCCGATCAATCTGCCACGGTCACGACGCTCTGCTCTGCGCTATCAACGCCGACACGAAACGAAATGCCATCGCACGCAGCCATCTTCCAGATCATAGCAGTTTGCCAAGTGGAATTCCCAAGCACGCCTTATCCATATTCAAACTCGAACCCAAACGCCGCCCTTACCGATCACGTCACGTCATGGCTTACGAACTCGGCAGGCGACGACCGTGTGCCGAGTAGTAGCCACATTTGGGCACGTGGCTACGCTTGCCCGTCTCTGGGTTGAAGACATTGCAACCTCCCTTGGCGACATTAGGTGGTGTGTACACTGATAGTCCCAGTTGTCAGTCAAGTCGATGCCGCGACGTCAAGCGACGGAGGGGGGTGGGGAGGAAGCTACGCACGGTGAAGGGATACAGCGAAGTCGCTGCCCTTGTTCCACACACGATGGACACCAAGTTCGTCTGCCATGTAGGCGCAGTCATCTTCCTTGTGCGTTCTTTCAGACACAACCTTCATGGGTTTGTCTTGATCACCACCACTCTCGGGGAAGGCATATCGGGTCTCGGTCAGGTCTCCCTTGAGGATCTTCATCAGGCAGTGGGCATTACCATGGTCATGGATGGGACTGCCCTTGCCTGGCGACCAGACGAGGACGAGCTGCCCTCGGGGGTTAGATGCTATTCGATGCCGGCATGGTTTTACGACTATCGGTCTAGGACTTACGAGGTTGCTCTTGCCGTTGCCGTCATCGACGAGGTTTCTGGTGTATCCCCTCGATGCATCAGCGAAGGCGTACTTGGCCCAATCCTCCTCAGACGACATGTAGTCTCGCATCAGAGCGGCTAAGTAGTCGACGTCGATGTCATCTGAGTCGAGGCCCGATGACGGCCCAAGGGCTGTTTTCAACGCTTGCACGAGACGATCGAACTTGTTTGCATCGGCCTTGGAGGAACCGTACCCGAAGGCCGAGTGGATCTGGTTGATGATGTCGATGGCCATGGTTGGGAAGATGAAGTATACGTTGGAGGGGGGCTTGTTTGGTTCAAAGGTTGATCATATGGCTATGGAACGATGGCGGTGATGAATGACTCTTGGCTGGGAAGCGGGGGCAGATGAGGGCCGTCGACTGTCCTTTAGTTTCAGGCTCGCTGCTGTCTGGGGAAAACGAGCGACTTGGGCGACCCGACAATTCGACGTGGGCGGAAGGGCTCGGAGAGACTGGATGATCCGATGGTCATCGACACTGGGGTGGTGTGGGGCAGAAGTGGACGTTGACTCGGGCTGAGTGGTCGGTGGTGCGTACTCGCAGCGCCAGCGACACGGGGATTGTCGTCGGATCGATTGGAGGTCGTGCGGAGGGCTGCGGCAAAAGGGTTCCTCGTGATCAGGGGTGCGACGCATAAGGTCATAGCCTGCTTGCGGGAATGCGGTGTGCCAGTCCGGGTGGCGGCAGAGATGGGATCTATGCGGAGGCAAAAGCCGTCGATAGGCGATGGAGGGCGTTGTCTGGCGTCTTGTTTTCGTTGTCGTTAACGTCTTGGTATGAGCAAGTTTGAGGTCACAAAGTGGAAATGGTGGCCGGTTTGTCGGCAGCTTCCGACAGCGGAAACAACGCATGCGAGGTTTTGCTGAACAGTTGCACACTAGACCCTGAACCGCTACAACGGTCCAATTTTAGCAGCCTTTGTTGGGCTTGCGTCACGGGTCTCCGCCGATTTAGCGCCGAAGTTCGCAGTGGTGTGATTGAGTCTCCAAGGCGGACGGCGGGGCCGATGGCGAGTGGAGTGCAGGGGCCGCATCGGCGCCGACCACCACGCAGTCCACATCGAAGACCATTGGGGACATGTACGTAGTATGCTTTTGATTTCATTCCTCAGTACGAAGTCAACTCCTGGTCCATTCGAGTGCAAAGAGGTGGAAAATTATGTTTCCGGTGATTTCAAGTGTGTCGCAACAGACCTGCCATTCGATGTACAACGCCAGTTTGCGTGAGGAGTGAGCACCACAGCAAATAGCACGCATCGGCCAAGGGCCGGGGCTCGATGGCATCACGTTCGGAGTAGGCACAACACAACGAGATATCAAGATGCGCTTCCGCAGGACCTGGATCGAATCTTGTTGATGTTACACTGGCTGTCTACCATGTGAAGTGATGCGAAAAGCCAAGAGTCAGGGCCATAAGACAGATTACGACCTTACAGGGTGCCGTGCCCATTGGGCTTGAGGGGGAAGGTCGCTTGCTTATGTAAGGCCGCCTGGATCACATCCGGCATTCCTCCGCTGGCGCGTTCTTCAAGGGGTCGCCAGTGGCTTTTTTTTTAGCGGACACGGCGACCGCACGCCACTGAAACGTAACACCTAGAGGGGATCTGAGGTCATAAACAATTACTAGGGACTCAGGCAAGTGGCAGTACCCGAGATGGGGTCATCCTACGGGCTATTAGTCACAGCTTCGCCTGGACATGACGGTGAAAAGTTTTGGCAGTCTGGAGGCAGAACTTCTGGCTGGAAATGTCTAGAATACATAGTCCAAGGTCGTCGACTCGCCACTGGTCTCCTCTCCGTAGGTATCTCGTGAAGTACAGTGCCGACGCAACTGCAAGAACACCCTGACTTGGCCCGAAGTCGACAGCATCTTCACAATCTTAAGCTCGTCAACAACCAGACTTTACCACGCCCCGGGAGTTCACCATGTCCAGTGCGGCGACAGTAGTCACGGCAGAGACGCCCTGTGCCCTCCAACTTAGGAATGGTGGCTGCTCAGGCACCCAGCGCAAGGAGGAAGTAGGATGGCGAAGGATCATCCGCAACTTTACCCCATCGTGAGAACCCACGATCCCCATACGAGCTTGCCGAGCAGACCACAAGATCTGACCAGACATGCAGATGGTTTGCAGTCACAATGGGCACTGGCATCGTCAGCATCTTGCTTCGTAACCTGCCCTACAACATGCCTTGGATCTCTCACGGCGTTGCTGTTGGCTTCTTCATCCTTAACATTGGCTTGTTCTCCGTGTTTACCGTCATGACCGTCGTCCGCTACGCCTTGTACCCGGAAATCTGGACTGCTATGATGGTACATCCCGCCCAGTCTCTCTTCCTGGGCTGCTTTCCCATGGGTTTTGCCAGTGAGTCTCACGCACTTACACGACCATGACGACCAGGATCAACGCTGACTTATAGCAGCCATCATCAACATGATGATTTTTGTCTGTTCTCACTGGGGAGATTGGCTTGTGTATCTGGCCTGGGGCTTCTGGTGGTTTGATGCGCTCATCTCTGTCACGACCTGTGTAGCCGTCCCCTTCATCGTGTAAGTGGCAATACAATGCTCGACCATCATGAGAATATCTGACCTTTTGCTGTCGGAACTCCGCTGATGAAAATAGCATGCATCGACACAAACCCGGTCTTCAAGCCGTCACAGCCGCCTACCTGCTCCCCATCGTACCAACCGTCGTTGCCGCGGCCACGGGTGGCATCGTTGCGTCCGCCCTCCCCTCCCGCACTCACGCCGTGACAACGCTTGCCGTCTCATACATCCTCTGGGGTCTCGGACAGTGCTTCTCCGCCCTCGTTCTCGCTCTATACCTTCATCGCCTTACCGTCCACAGCCTTCCTCCGCGCGAGGCCATCGTCTCCGTCTTCCTGCCCATCGGGCCCCTTGGCCAGGGCGGTTTCGGCATCCTGCAGCTCGGCAACGTCGCCCTGTCGCTCTTCCCAGCCGGCACCGTCGACGTCGACCCGCTGCTGCGCGCAGGCGAGATTCTCTACGTCCTCGGCATCTTTCTGGCCCTCTGCATGTGGGGGTTTGCGCTGGCATGGCTGTCTTTCGCGCTGCTGAGCCTCGCTGCCCTGCAAAAGTTCCCTTTCAACATGGGCTGGTGGGGCTTCACGTTCCCCCCTGGGCGTGTTGGCCACCTGCACGGGCATGCTGGGACGGGAGCTCGACAGCGACGTGTTTCGGGTCCTGACCATGGTCTTGTCGCTATCTGTGTGCCTTTTGTGGCTTGTCGTTGCTGTGCGGACGCTGCGGCTGGCGCTCACGGGCGAGATGTTCCATGCGCCGTGCTTGAAAGACCTCAGAGAGAAGGGGCAGCAGGGAGGCGGGGATAGGAGAGTGTAGGTCGCCTGCGTGGAACTTTGACCCGACCTTCTTCCGGCATGTGGTTGGAAGCTTTATCATCGAAAAATCGAACGCTTGACACAAAGCTCGTATTGAATTAATGTTCTGTATTCCTAGTTCCATCGGCCAGATCAACATGCATAGCCCCTCACAGAAGAACCCCGAACACGAACATGATCTCTGCAAAGGGTGTCAACCACCACATACGACCATACCTACTGGAAAACTCGGGATCCCGTCCGCTCTCCCAGCGATAAACCAGTAAGGGCCGGATCAGTAGTTGGGTGGGTGACCACCAGCGAATACCCGGTGTTGTATGTTTTGTTATGTTTTGCTGCGTTATGGAGCCACCTTCGTCTACCTCGCTTTGTTTGGTATTGATCTGATTATATGACCTCCCCCCTCCATCCCTGTAAAAAGGCATGCATTCCAGGTTCTTTATCATAATGAAAAGCAATATGCGTGATCTGAAATTGTATCGAGATCCGTGGCTGTTATCATGCCTTGCACGTGTTGACGGCCATCCAAACTTGCAAGTCGTCACCCACCTCTGACCGCAGGCTGCACGTTCTCCAATTTCACGTGCTTCCTCATGAGGCCAAATGAACGATGCAGATACAGTCTGCCGTTGGGAAAGAGTGCCAGTGCTCACATGGGTTACAAGCTGCTTCCGATCTTCAACGGCTTCCGCCGTTGCACGAGGGTCGACGGTGGGAGGCAGGTCGAGCATCAACAACGCCGGACCGCCTGTCTATACTACGTTGCTTCCGGAAGAATTGCACCAGACCGAACATGGGCTTGTTGATTGGGATCTTCCCAGTAGACTTAAAAATATCGTCAAGGAAACCGCCGAAGAGACACCCACAGGCCGGCGCGACAATGACACCCAGTATTTCGAGACGTCAGTGCTGTCCTATGGGGCCCCAGAACACAAACTCAAGTCTGCTCACCCAGAAGTTATGATGCCCTGCCGTCCAACTTCTGAAACATAGCCGAGCATGAAAGCGACGAGGCGAGGCCCAAGCCTCGAGCTGGGTTGATGACGTAGCCTGTCTCCCAGCCGAAGTAAGCCCCGATTCCAAAAACCAGGAAAAAGAGGCCTATGGGTAACAAGAGTTCCACACCAATATTCTCCGTGTCCAGCATGGCATATAGAGCGAAGAAGCTGCTTGCGATACATTCCAAGAAGAACATGCCCGTCGTGCTCGTGAAAGCAGCAGGATACGTGCTGAACACACCCACTACGGCGTTTGGGCCCGTGACGGGTCGGAGACTGGCCCCTCCCTCGATGATATTGATCGCTGCTTTGTGGTTTCCATAGATTACTGCCGCGGCAGCCATGGCACCCAACAGTTGAGCGAGAGCATGGATTTGGAGTTTACGCCATGGATGGCCGCGGAAGACACAGTTGGCCAAAGTGACGTCCGGGTTGATGTGGCCCCTTGACTTGCCTCCGCAATAAACTCCCATCATGACGCCAATTCTGTACAAAGTGTCAGAAGATGGTGATCTGGATTGTGTGAAGGAAATTCCGAGAACTTTACGCCATAGGACATTGGCAACCGACGCTGTCACCGAACTAGACAAGAGTCGAGGCCCCAATGAATTCTGAGAATCCATCTTGGCAGTAGCATCGAACTCTGCTCCGGAAGGGGGGCTTCTCCATGACAACATCAATAGCACGATTGAGGTGCTCTCCTTGGATGTCCCGGGCGCCCATGTTTAGTTGGATTGCGATGAGGCGTGTTGCTTGATCAACCATAAGTAACGGATCGATGAAACAGTAGTTGAGCTTGTCGTCTAGTGATGTAACTTCGGTGCGATACAGAGCTGGTCACATTGTTTTCTTTATATCTCAAGGGCTTGAGCCAACAACTAGCCGTTCTCCGACATGTTCAAGCAGGCGGTCTTTCGGGGACGCCGTTGCTGACATTGCCTCCATCGCCCCACTCATCGAGAGCACCATGGATGGCACATCAGGGGCCTTGGACAGCATATTTCACCACGCTTTGGTCACTGCACTGCATAACCTGTCACCAGACACGGCTAGGCCCCAGGTTTGGGCATCCGCGCTAGAGAAGAGCAGTCACATATTGTCTGAATACACACCAGCTCATCCTAGCGATCGCACTCTAGTCGACGCTTGGTACCCATTTGTAGAGGTGCTTGATCCGAAGGGGAACGTCAAGCAGGCTGCTGATGCCACGCTCGAGGCAGCTCTAGAAACCAAGGGAATGTAGGCTAGTCTTGAACGAACAGCTCACATTGGCGGTGGCGGATATCAGGAGGTTCTTGATCCTGGAGCTTCGGGGTTCAGCGACCTTTTTTCAAGGTCTTTCACGCGGCTGATTGTTTCAAGATGACCCAGAAGCTTTTGGGAAGAGGCTCCATCTCGAACCGTGTCTATGTTACTAGACCTGCTACTCAAGAATACTGGCCCAAATTCCTTCGGCGGATATCATACTACGTCTCCTGAAATAGACATGATCAAAGCCTTGAACGACAACCATTTACTTGTCGCGAACAGAAATCAATCATGAAGCCCACTTTGTCCTTACTCCGTCATCTTCGTTGCAACGTCCAAAGCCCGGCTCACATCCGCATCTTCACCTGCGCTGACGGCCACCGCACCGGCCTTTGCGAGAACAGCTATCCCTGAATCCGCTGCCGAAATATGTGAAACAGCTTATCGCCACACGTTCCAACTGTCGAAATCTTTTCACGTGTATCATTGTCATAGCCGTCACCATTTGCCGCAGGTTCACCATCGTCGATGCCCTTTTCGGCAGAGGAACTGCTGTTTTCAGGGGCATCGCTGCTATTGCCAACTGCATCTTCTTCCTCAGAAGGGTCAAGTTCAGCGACGGGCTCGCTTTCGGCATACTTTCGGCTTCGGAGTGGACGCGGTTCCAGCGGCGCTCGTGGTATAGTCAACCACCCTTTCGTCCTTGGCGGCTCCCTTTGAGATTTTGCCATCAAAATCAGTACCACTTGGCTCATAAGATCCGTCCGCAGCACCAGAATTTACGGCCTTGGGAATGTAGCCAGGTGCCGGGTTCGTCACCTCCTCGAGCTCTACCTCCGGCGGACCTTCAAAGTCTCCGTCCTCGCACCTCGACTGAATGACTTTACAAAGCTTCTCGTTCCACAAGTCGCAGTTCTTGACACCTGTAGGCGGTGTTGGGTGAAGCACT